ATGTGCAGTATCTGATTAGGTCCCAAGTTTATCTTTGTCAGAAATTAGGCCTTATTAGAAAAAAAAAGCATAAAAACTCATTCCTATGATTGGAAATTTACTTAATATCATTTACATTTTACAAACTGGTTGTCTGCATTACAAATGCTTTGTAGTCAAATTTGGAGCTGTACCATATTTTTTGGCCTATAAGTCACGTTTTTTTGCATAATTTGCATACCCTGCATCTTATACGCCGAAACAACGTATTTATGGATTTTTTTCCTCCTTTTTATTTAAATGAATTTTTGGCTGAGATATGACCGTTTTCATTCATTCTGACTGAAAATCTTGAACACTACCATTTTCAACCACTAGATGGCACTCGAGTAGTATGGCATGCCGTTGTGTCATGTACTAGGTAAAAGTGGCTATTAATGACATAATCGGCTTGCCTTAGCCTGCCACCTTCATCCAGCTCGCCAGGAGCAACCATCAAATCAGCTTCATTTCACTGCGCCGCCCCTGCGAAATGCAGCTGATTTGACCATTGAAGTGCATTTATTAAGTAAACGTTCAACTGAGACACACTTTTACTATAATTTTAAGCAAACAAATAATGGTTTTTAAGTGGCTATCTTGTTAAAGTCCTCCTGTGCACGCTTCCGTGGCCACCATTTGGCAGCCAATTGATTTTTGCCACAACACCGGCCCACATTTCTGGCTCATCAGCGGTAATGACGCATAATTGATGTGACGTATGGTATGGTATGGTATGGTATGGTATATGGACGTATACGGCTAAGCTACTTATTTATATTTTTTCCACTTTATTAGACATATTTGGACTGATGCGACTTATAGGGCGGTGCAACGTGTACGGTGGAAAATACTTTAGTTATTAAAGTAAACAGGCTAAGTTGTGTTTTTTTTCTTTTAACCGCAGGAGGAAGAGTCAAGCGACAGCAACAAGTTTTATCCACATCTCATGAAGCCCATGTCTAACAGAGAGAGGTAAACACACAGTAGAGAAAAATGTCTTAAGCTCATACGTTTTTGTTAAAACCCATAAATTAATTCACAGGAGTCCTTTACCAAGTTAATTATCAGTGGTTCCCAATCCTGGTCCTTGAGGGACACCGTCCTGCACGTTTTACTTGTTTTCCCTGCTTTGACTCACCTGATTTAAATGAATTGACCGGCTTCGGCAGAACTTGAGAAAGAAATTAAATCACTGAAACAGGCGTGTTGGAGCAGGAAACAACTAAAACATGTAGGATGGTGTTCCTCAGGGACCAGGGTTGGGAACCACTGAATTAGATTGTAACTGTAGGTAAATGTTTACTTGAAGACATTCAGTATCAGTTAAAATTTCTTCTCTGAACTCCTGCATGCATTGTCATCAAGTTTTGCTCTTTTTAAGGTTAAGGAAAAAAGTTAAATTCATATGTTTTACAAAAAAAATAAGACAAAATAAGAGCATAGGTTTGTTAATTTTGTTAAAATTATCTTAAGAAAACTTTGCAACACAAATGCAATGCTCAGTCAAAGTCTTAGTTTTGTGCACAGATCTGGTAACAAACACAAATGTAATGTTTTGCTGTCCCATTAGTGATTAAACTGCACCGTAATAATCCTTCACAATGTCTGGTTCCAAATGTAAACACAGATCCAGTCAGACTGTTCAAACAGAAAGAAATGCTAAACATTTCATTTTTAAAAGATAAAACAATGTCTTTTCTTCCACCAGAAACTTTGTGCTAAAGCATCGAGTTTTTCTTCTGAGAAACTGGGAGAAGATGAGGGAGAAACAGGAGCTGCAGAAGAGGGAGGGTGAAAGAGAGAGGGACGCCAGCAGCCTCTCCATGTACGCCCGCTGGGGGGGAGTCATCAGAGATGACGGCAACATCAAGTCAGGTGAGTCTATTTAAAGGAACAGTCATGATCAAACGGCATCGTGTATTTTCTTTTACTGACTGAAACGCTCTCTTTCCAGATGTGTTCTTGACGCAGTTTTCAGCTCTGCAGACGTCGCGGTCGGTTCGCACACGGAGACTTGCTGCTGCCGAAGAAAACACAGAAGTTACGCGCACTGCACGCCTCGCACACATCTTCAAGGAGATTTGTGACATGATCACAAGCTACAAGGGTTAGTGGCGTGAAGTACACAATATATGAACTGACGTGCAATCCTAATTTACACCGTCAGCTGTAGCATCTTGACCACAGGCAGCTGAAGTGAAGCTCATTGATTCTGTTGTTACGGGGAGAAATATTAGGCAGAAAGTGAACATTCTGTTCTTGTGTCTCCAGCAGAAAAAAAAACAAACATTTGTTAGGATTTAGGCAACTGTGTCAACAAGCAAAATGTTTGATACTGAGTCCTACTCTTGGCCAGCAAGCAGCCCACATATAGTGGGCTAGATATGGCCCTTTTTTTTTTTTTTAACAATTATTTAACCCCACAAAGCACCCAGAGTCCCAAACTGACTTGTCTGACCATAACGCAGAAACTAGAGAAATTGCATTTTCTGAAAAAGAAAAATGCACTGCATTGTTGCTCCTCGGTTATGTGCCTTGGGAGGGGGCTCGTCTCTTTGGGGTTGTTATCAACGGGTGGGTGGAGAGAAGCAGAGCGCTACGTCTGTATTGCATGCGGGGTTTGGTTAGCTTAGCACTACGTTAGTGCCAGCAGTTGTCTGCGCGGTAGCAGAGTGCTACATTTGTATTGCAAGTGGGTTGGAGTCTGAGCTGAGCTGCTACAATCTCCGCTCCCCATCTGGAAGTGGGGGGGGGAGGTGGTTTGGCACCCTCCTTGAATAATGGTAGGGGCAACACTGCAGTGTGTGTGCTGAGTGCTAAACATCTTTGCTGAAATGTGCTAAAGAAGCTTAAACTGAATTGTTACAGCTAAAAGAACCAGAACACAAACTAAACGAACCAAAACACTAACTAAAAGCTAAACGATCCAGAACACTAGCTAATATCTGCAATATATAGAACACTAGCTAATACCTAAAAGTTACAGAATAATAGCTAATAGCTAAACGCTACAGAACACTAGCTAAAAGATACAGAACATTAGCTAAAAGCTAAAATAACCAGAGCACAAACTAAAAGAACCAAAACACTAGTTAATAGCTAAAATATACAGAACACTAACTAATAGCTAAAAGCTACATAAGACTAGCTAAAAGCTAAAATATACAGAACAACAGCTCAAATCTACAGAACACTAGTGAAATGCCAGAAGATCCAGAACACTAGCTAAAAACTAAAAGATCCAAAACACTAGCTAAAAGCTATAACAGTAACAGCACACTAGCTAAAAGCAAAAAATGACAAGAACACTTTATAAAAGTAGTAAAGGTTTAACAAAAATAAATAAATGTAGTAAAAAGCTAGCTAAAAACTAAAAATAGCAAAACCATAGATGGAGACTAAAGTAGCAAAAGACTAACTAAAGGTATCAGAAGGATCAAATTTGCTGAAGGCAAACTAAAAGTCTAAATATAGGAAAATGCTAGCCTAAAGCTAAAACTAGGAAAAATCTAGCTAAAAGTTTTATGTAGCAAAAGCTATCTAAAAGCTAAACGATACAGAACAGAAAACTAGCTAAAAGCTACAGAACACTAGCTAAAAGCTAAAGGGAGCATATTGATTATTGTTTAATATTATTGGTTCTAGATTTATAAATTTGATGCTCAGGTCTTTTGAGTCTTTGACAGCATCCCTGCAATAAGTTTGGACTTGAACAATAAGACACCCTTTGTTCTGGTGCTAACAGACTGCTTCTGTCCTCAGTGAAGTTTCAGTTGGTGAAAGAGTTTTACTAATTTATTTCTTTGGCTCTCAAACCCTCAGTAAGTTTTATTTATGGTCCTGAAGGTGAATAGCCCTGCTCAATAAGTCAAGTGGTTGTTATGTTACACTTGACTTGAGTGATTTCCTCACCGCTATAATCTTTATTTTGATCTAATTTGGCTTTTAAATCAGACCTCTCAGTATCTCGACTATCGTTTGAATAAAACGTCTTATTTTATTTTATTTTATTTTACCTCAGACTCATCTGGCCAGATACTCGCAGCTCCTTTGGTGAACCTCCCGTCCAGAAAGAGGTGAGCGCAAATTCCAATTCCAACACATTCATTCATAATGCTCCTGTGTTTCAAGCAGCAGTGTCACTTTATCTCGTACAACACCCACACACTGTATCAGTTTTATCTTTCACCACACGTGTGAGCTGTGACAGTGTGTGTGTGTTCAGTATTGTTGGTTAAACAGATTATTTTTCCTGACTAAAGCTGTCTTTAGATTTATGAATGCAGCATTGATTTTATCAGATGTAATAACTTCAAAATCAGTGTCAAAGTGGATTAAAGGGAGCTGACTGTGTTGTTTCGGTGTGCCAACAGGAATAGCCAGTACTACGAGAAGGTGTCTGACCCTCTCGACCTGAGCACCATCGAGAAGCAGATTCTCACCGGCCATTATAAGACCGTGGAAGCGTTTGACACAGACATGCTCAAAGTGTTTCGTAACGCAGAGGTAAGAGGCATCGCCTGTTGCGTGTAATTACTTTAAACTTTTTTTTAGTTTAGTATAACACCCTGCGCTTCAGAGAACTGGTCTCATTAAGACTGTAATAATACTTTTCAATCAAAAAAATATATACAAATCCAGGGGAAAATTAAATTTGTAGCTAAATTTGCATTTGGTGTTCTTGCTTCTATTTTACGCACATTTTTTTAGTATCACAATGATTAAACATTGGTCCAGAGTTTGTTTGGAAGCAGAAGAACGTAAAAGAATTTGAAAGTTTGGAGATTATTATTCATCTCTGTCTTTACTGGAAAATAAACAGTTCAGTTCCTGGAATTAGGCTTTTGTTGTTGTTTTTGTAGGATTTCAACTAATCTTTTGGTTAAGAGTTGAAACAGCTTCTAGAAAAAGAAAAGAGCTCCAGCTTCTTTCAGCTTAAAAGGTTGTAGGATTGGTATTTCCTGCCAAAACGTACACAAACGTGCTTCCATTCAACTTGTAAAACACTCAAATTTTTTGTCTCAGGGTTGTTTTGCTAAAGCATCTTTTGTTAGTAAAGATTAAGAGACTTAAAGACTAGACAAACTAGTCTGTTTGATCTAATATTTAAAAACAAGTATTAACCTTTATAGTCAGTGATGCAATTCTTGTCAGGGCTCATTAGAAACGTATATATAACCATGACAGGAAAAAGAACGCATCCATTCATCATCAGACTCTGTGGGGAGATGTTTGTGCGTCTCCTCAGCATAACTCCAGATTCTCCGAGCTCGTTCAATAAAAAGCCTAATCAGGATGATTGTTTAAGGTGGCGCTGTGCAGCTCATCCAATCAGTGCGAGGTTTTCCGTTCCCCCTCTGTCAAACACAGCTCCCAAATGGGATTTAACTTCTCGCCTGCTGATCCTCTGCGTGCACGTGGCAGGCCCTTTTGATTTACATTTGTATGGCGTCGCTGTTTAAACAAGTGCTACTTGAAAGCTCAGAGGGTCTTGAAGTGGATGTATAAATTAGATTCAGCTTTTTTCACCAGAGCTTTCTTCTCAGTTTTGAAAAAGAAGCGAGAGGATTGTAGTTATGATTCGTCCTTACAGCTGCAGGCAGACAAACGAAGCCTGAATGATTTAATAATTTATGTAATTTTGTGTTTTTTTTTATTTACAACTTCTCCTTTTTGTGCTGTCTTTGTGAGGCGTTGTGTTTGATGTCAGATCAGATTTACTCAAATATTTTCTTGTTTTTCCATTAAAACTAAAACAACTGTCTTCATCGCTCGTTTTTGTTTGTTTGTTTGTTTGTTTTTTGAATGTTTGTTTTCACCAGAAATATTACGGTAAGAAGTCGTCAGTAGGCAGAGACGTATGCCGGCTGAGGAAAGCTTATTACAGCGCTCGCCATGAAGCTGCGGTCCAGATCGACGAGATCGTAGGTGAGACCGCCAGTGAAGCAGACAGCTCCGATTCCCTGGAGCGCGACCACGTTCACCACCACGGAGGAGGGCCGGGGTCCCACGACAAAGACGATGATGTCATCCGTTGCATCTGTGGGATGTACAAAGACGAAGGCTTGATGATCCAGTGTGAAAAGTGCATGGCAAGTGGTGAAAGAAACACTTTTTCTTTGCGCTCTGATCGGCTGCACCTGTTTTAGTGTGTAATTTCTCCTGAGACTCCACCTTGAAGTTTCCTAATGAGATTTTCCAAGGAGGGTGAACAGTCAGTCCTCTGAGAATATTATTTATTTTTAGATAAAAAATAAATAAATAACCAAGGAGGCTTTCAGTGCTGATGAAGTTTGAGTTCAGAAACGAGCGTGGTTGTGTGAATCACTCATGCAGGGGAGCGTGACACCACCAGCTGGCCTGTAATCTGCTCTGAATAATTGCTTTTATTTTTATTATTCATGTTTAAAATTGTTTTTGTTGTTTTAGGTGTGGCAGCACTGCGACTGCATGCGTCTGGAGACTGAAGTGGAGCACTACCTATGTGAGCAGTGTGACCCTCGGCCTGTGGACAACGTACGTGTCCCCCCTTTAAAACACCCACATATACTTTATTTATTATTATTTCTTTACTAGGAAATATGAATCACCTCTTTCTCCTCACCTGTGTTCTTGTTACTACAGGAGGTTCCCATGATACCGCAGCCCAGCTACGCACAGGCTGGCTCAATCTACTACATATGTCTCCTTAGGGATGACCTGCTGCTACACCAAGGTATGTCGCTCATAGTGCTTTAAAGGTCCTGTCTCTTTGAAACGTTGATTTTTGAAAGCTGTTGAGTTCCTTGTATTTAGGCGTCCAGTTGGGTAGTTATTTGATTCGAGTCAGTTTATTTATCAGAGTCAGAGTTTCTTTATTTGTCATACGCACCACATGTGGTGGAACGAAATTTTGATACACAGGGTTCCAGTTACATCCAACAAAAGTCTCAAATGTAAAAGAAAAACAGTAATAAGATCTAAGATGTGAACTAAAATAAACATTAACTAAATGTACGCTAAGCACTAGTAGTACAAAAAGCACTAGTAGTACAAAAACAATACGCTGAACAGCAGCACGAACATGAGTCTGTGTGAGCAGATGAGCACGAATGAACACAGCAACACGAAACAGATCAGCAGCAACATGAAACAGATCAGCAGCAACATGACGTGTTTTTTTTTTTTTCACAGTGATTATCCAGATTAGAGATTCATGAGTCTAACAGCCTCAGGGTAAAAGCTGCTCCTCAGTCTAGTGGTTCTACACTTAATGCTTTTTAAGCTTCCTGAGGGGAGCGGGGCAAAAAGTGTGTGTGCTGGGTGAGTGGGGTCCTTCATGATGCAGGTGGCCTTCTTCCTGCATCTGGAGGTGTAGATGTCTGTGATGGTGGGGAGACTGACTCCAACAGACTTCTTAGTTATAACTTACATAGTGCCAATTCACAACAGTGTTTCAGGGCACTTTACAGAAACATTCACATACGTGTTGCCCGCCTACTAGCTTAGTGCTACGTTGCTGCCGATTTTTAATGGGAATGGCAGGGAATGAAGTCACATCTGTGTTGCCGCATGCTAGCTTATCGCTACGTTGCTGTGAGTTTTCAATTGTCGACTGGGGGTGGGGGTGTCACGTCTGTGTTGCCGCATGCTAGCTTAGTGCTACGCCGCTAGGGAGAGCGGAGTAGTACATCAATAGCATTTCTGCTAGCACGTTTGTATCGCTCCCTGTGCTACATCAATACCGACAGTTTCCATGTGTTTACTTATTACAGGACCACCTGAAACAATAGTTTTTGTGAGTGTGTGGTTTTGGTTATCGGTACTTTATTTGCCAGAAACATCCATTTCAGTTTAGAAACATCTTGTGATTGACCTGATTTTAAATGCCAGACCCTTTTTGTTTGCAGTGAAACAGAACTGCCTTGTCAAACGTCCGCCTTTTTCTTGTAATTTTCTTTTGTAAAGATGAATGTAGATGTATAACCTGTGTGTTTATGTGTTGTGTGCAGGGGATTGTGTGTATCTGATGAGAGACAGCAGGCGCACAACTGAAGGGCAGCCTGTTAGGCAGTCGTACCGCCTCCTGACTCACATAAACCGAGATAAACTCGACATCTTCCGAATTGAGAAACTGTGGAAAAATGAAAAGTGAGTTTGCGCCTGCTGCACGGACCGCATCATAACGTCCTCTCTACTTTGGATTGTTACCTTTTCATACAGCATGACGTTGTTTTTTGTCTTCAAAGGGGTGAGCGGTTTGCTTTCGGTCATCACTACTTCCGTCCCCACGAGACGCACCACTCTCCATCACGGCGTTTCTACCAGAACGAGTTGTTCCGCATGCCGCTGTATGAGATCATCCCCCTGGAGGCGGTGGTGGCAACATGCTGCGTCCTCGATCTTTACACCTACTGCAAAGGTGAGGAGAACCTGCACAGGCTGAATTGCTAAACCAACTCTGATTTTTTTTTTTTAGGCGGTTCTTTCAGAAGGTGCTGCTCAGACATTATCTTTTCTGTGTGAAAGTTTGTACAGCTGAAGGTTTAGCTCCATGTTTGGAAGAGCTTCGAACATTTAAACGTGCATTCTTCCTACAGGACGGCCAAAAGGTGTGAAAGAACAGGACGTGTACATCTGCGATTACCGCTTGGACAAGTCAGCGCACCTGTTCTACAAGATCCATCGGAACCGCTACCCGGTCTGCACCAAGCCATACGCCTTCAACCATTTCCCAAAGCGGCTCTCTCCTAAAAGAGACTTTTCGGTGAGACTGATGAGGATCCGCGATCCGTTTCTGTTTTAGAAACATTAAAAAGTGTATTTTAGGTGCAGTGATTACATTACAACTCATTATAGTTCACCCATTGTTTATGTGGCCTGCAGCAAAATGTTTGATTGAAGTTGGACTAAGCAGAAACAAACGAGACAAACCGCACATACTTGTTTTTTACCTGAGGGGAAACCACAATGAATTACCTACTTTGTAATTTTCTCACGTGTTAACATGTTCAGAACTTTAGTTTTTGTCTTGTGAATCAGGCTGATTGTATTTTTCACAGACTGACAGATGAGAAAAGCTTCAAACAAACTTTTAGATCGGCCACTAGAGAAGGCAGTTGTAGTTTTTAGCTAGAAACAAAAGTAATCTGATCTAAGTGCCTAAAACTGTGCGAACACTTTAACGTTCTTGCAGCCTCATTATGTTCCTGACAACTACAAGAGGAACGGCGGCCGATCAGCCTGGAAAAGCGAGCGACCCAAAGAAACGTCCGGCTGCGAAGACGACGGCTCTTCCTGCGAGCGAAGCGAGGACTTCCCACCCGAAGAAGAAGATGGAAGAGAAGAAGATGACATGGACGTGGAGGATCCCAAACTTCTTTCAGCCAAGCACAGACGACCTGACCGAGGAAGACGACGAGGAGGAGATGATGAGGATGAAGACGAGGAGGAAGACGAAGAAGAAGAAGAGGACGGGCTGGAGGCCGAGGTCCGCAAGGAGCTTGAGGAAAGTTCCAAAGAGAGGATGGAAGAGATGCTCGAGCTGCCGTCGTCTTCAGCCTCCTCGCCTCTTCATCATCCAGCTCTGGGCAAAAGAGAAGCCCAGAGGGAACGACTCAACAAGATTCTGCTGGACCTGCTGCACAGAACACCCAACAAGAACGGTGAGGGGCCGGGAACAAAGCAGGGGGGTAGGTCAACAGATTCATGTGGGTTTCTTTGTCACATTGTTCATACACAGTGAGTTTATCTGCTTCTCTTTCTCCATCATTGATCTGCATATTGAGGGAATTGGGTGGTGGTGGGGGTGGGGGTGGGGGGGTGGCGAGTATATATAAAGGTTATCAGGGCTAATCAAAGTGTAACTGAATTTAAAAAAGTAATACCTGTGAGTTTTAAGCAGCAGTAGGAAAACCTGTTTCATTTTTAAATTATTTTTTATTGTACTCTGTTAATGCCCAATGGGGAAATTAATTCTCTGCATTTTTCCCGTTGCACATGTGAGCACACGTGAGCACACGTGAAGCAGTGGGCTGCCATCTAAGGGGCCCGGGGAGCAGCTGGGGCGGTAAAGGGCCTTGCTCACGGGCCCAGAGTGGGGCAAATGAGGGTGGAGGCAGGTGTGGGTGTTTCACCCTTTCCACCCACATTTTGATGTTGTCGGTCCCAGGGGGTTTGACCGGTGACCCTCCGGTCACAGGCCCATCCTCTCTAACCTCCGCACCACCACTCCCATGAGGACATGATCAGAGAAAAGTTGTGGTGGTATTAGTAACTATACAAAATAAAATCACAAACTGGGGGGCTGAGATGGGGTAGAGGCAGGGCAGCCGAGCTGGGACCCAAAAGTCCCAGGCTCGATCCCCAGCCATTCCCACATGTCATGGTGTCTCTGAACAACACGCCCAATCCCCAATTGCTCCCTGGGCACCTACATATTTGCACACTGCTCCACCTGGGTGCATCTCAGGTGTGATGGGTCAAATGCCGAGAACTAATTTCATCATTGTATGTTCCCATATAGCACTTATTATTATTATTATTATAACTTATGTAATGAATGGGAATTTACCAAGCAATGTGTCCAAAATGAAAGTGAACACACACACACGTCATACTGACAGAAGTGCATTTTAGAGTTTAAGAGATGCAGATCAGGTGTTTGTGATGGTAATGCTTCTAATTATTTGAAACAGATCTACTACAATATAGTTCTCTAGGAAGACATGTATTTATCTTATTTTGTGTTCTAAACATATGTGGAAGATGGCTGCATTTGTCTCTACAGATCAAGTCTCATAGTTTTAGTCTCTGTAACTCCATGTTGGAAACACTGACTTTTTGTCAAATGCTAGGCATCATAAAAACAGCTGCAGGTGACAAGAGTTTTGTAAACGTCGCTCCAAACTCTGCACGTACCTCTGGGCTGAATCTGGAGTTTGTGAATGTCGCTACAAATGGTGCATTTGGTATCGTTCATGGAAGCCCAACTGGTGAGAGTAAAACATGGAGCAGGAAAAAGAGAAAAGGCGAACTTATGTTTTGACTGTTGTATCTACCTTGCTTTATTTAATGTTGATTGTTGGTTATCTCCTATTACTTTTTTATAAACATGGTGGTCATATCATGTTAGTAGATTTCTCATTTCAGCCCCTGCTATAAGCAGCTGTTGGCTTCGGGCCAGTCTAAACTTCTGCTTCTGAACCAGTTTGAAACTGCTTGGGAGTGAAAATGTATTTATCAGTGCTCTTAGAATAGAGCCGACTCCGTCAGACTTTGAAATATGTGCAGGCAAAAAGAATCCTACCTGTCTCTGCTTCTGTTTGTTTTTGTGTCCTCACTCTTGCTCTCATTCTCTCCCTCCAGCTATAGACGTCTCATATCTCCTCGATGAGGGAGCGGGCCGGCGTTTACGGCGAAGGACGCTTGGATTTGGCGATTTTGTTAGAAAATAACCTTTTTGCAAGACTCTGATGCCTTTCACTGACGCGAACGAGGAGCAGAAAACGGAGACGCGGCGAGGAGGGAAATGAGCACGGCTGGTTGTCCCGCCATTACGGACCACAGTGCGTCCCTGGGGTGCCTGTTCCAGCTTACCTCTTCCAAAACTGTCCTCTCAATTTTGAGACGGTGGAGGGGTTCGGAAGTGCTGACTTGGAGGCAGTTTCAGCTTGTCAGGAGATCTGCCGAAGAACGCTGACCCAGTCTTCTTGCTTATCTACGTAGTATAATGCAACCCCCCCTTTTTTTTTTTAAACGAACATAGGACATAATGCATCGAACATTACAAACAGGGGTAGATGTATTCTGCTAGCGAGGACGAGAAATGAACGGTACTGACTTATTGTTTAGTTTCAGCAGGGATGCAAACGCTGAACAATTGTTTTCCTTCGTGGGATCTAGCTGCAATGACAGAAATATAACAAACGAGAGAAGCTTCGTGTCAGGACGTCGGGTGGCAAATGTCATAGGAGGAAGCTGAGCGTGTGCTGCGATGCGCTTTAGAGAGAACAACGGTGAACTGCACTTTTGGTACCATAGATATTGTGAAGCTCTAATGAAACACACTAACACTCTCACAGTATTGGCTGCAGTCTGAAAAATAAGGTTAAAAAGTCTATTATTGATATTTTTTCTTGTAACTCATTTAGGAGAGGCCTGTGGTGCGTTTGGTTCTGGGGAGGGAAGGGGTTCAGTTTGCGCTTATGTCCAAGTGTCCTGTTAATATTTTTTACTTAGTCGTGAGGCAGTCCCTCTTTTTCGAAGTAACGTGATTCACCAGCTTATCTAAATCAGCGGAGGAGGGGGTCGCCGGCTTTAGTAACGCCTTACACAGCCGCGGCCCCCCACTGCCTTGCGTGCGAGTGTGTGTGTCTGCCAGATTTTGTGAAAATATACCTTTTTAAAAAATAAATAAATAAAAAATTAAGGGCTCGATGGCAATTAGCAGTTTTAAGAAAACTATGGAAAACAGTACTTAACATGAAATGTATCGTGATGGTCATATTTTCTTATATTCTGATGGGCGGGGCAGTATATACTGTATATTTCAAGGGGGCTAATTACTTAAGATCCCTTTTTTTTGTCGTCGGACTATGTTGCCATAGAGAATGTGTAAAAAAAAAAAAAAAGTTGATATTTGACGAGACTTTCTTTTGTCCCCTAAATGCCTCTGCAAAAACGGGACAAGCTGCAATGTCCCGGTGTGAAAAACTGACAGCAGCGACGAGAACGAGACATGAGGGGAAAAAAAAAGAGAAGCTGTACAGTGCCAAGTTCTGTAAATATACACTTTACATTGAACGGTGTCTCCAAAAGCAATATCTTGAAAATTTGACTTTGTTTATTATTGTACTGTACAGAACTCAGCCCTAAATGTATTATTATATTATTATTTCTTCTGTTTGTATTACTATAATGAAGACACTTAAGCTCTGAGGAAAATGATTTTTGTAATATTTAGAAAATCTCACAACTGTCCCGATGACATAAAATTTAAGCTGAGTTTTTATTGCCTATAAATTAATTTCAGCTGCATGTGCAAGATGAATGTCAAACGGACGCAGAAGGCTTTGGAGTGTGACGGTGAGCGACACCTTTTGTCACAGAATTTTGTTAATATTACTTAAAAGGAGAAATGCCCTCCTTGTTTTTTTTGTGTTTTGGTTTTTTTTGCTGCAAAGTGTTGAACACTAAAAAAACAAACCAACATGAAAATGTTATTTTTAAAAAGCTGACGGAAACAAAAGTAAAACTGTTGGCACAATATCATCGCTTTGTTTTAATTTTCAAATAGGAAACGGTTCCGTTTTGTGATAGCGGTCATCGTATGATGCTTGTACTTGTGTGTTTTGTGTGACCCGTTTAGTTCTTTTTAGACAATCACAAAATAAGATGCAAGCATTGTAAATGGCAGACTGGCAGACATTTTGTGATGTGTACAGTTTAAACAACCCTTCTTCCACTCGTTAAGTTTGTAATTATGATTAAGTCCTGGGGGGAAAAAGCTGTTTTTACTTTGTTTTATATTTGTTTTGTTTTTTTAATAAAAAGCACTACATTATTGTGAATATATTTACTGGTCTTCTCTTAACATTACAAACACAATGGAAGGTAAATCAAGAATGTTTGATAAGGTATTAAATGTTTGTTTTGTTTATTTTGCTCAGAAGTTGGCGTGTAATGAGTTATTTCCTAATGATGCATTTAAGTAGTACCAAAAGTCCATTTTTTTTTATATTGTAAATACCTTTTAGGTGACTTATTCTAATTTTCATTTAGCCCAAATCTGCAGAAATCTCATTAAAAAATAGATTAAGATTTTATCGACAGCCTCAAATAATCAAACAGTTCTGTTAGAAGGAACCAGACTTTAATTTAGTTTTAAACATTTATAGAAAAAGACAACCATACACAAACATGTATAGGATTAAAAAAAACACTTTCTGTGTCAGCCTCCTCAGTACTCGCCTTCTTCTTCACCATCCCCCTCGATGGAGTCAACCCCCACCTCCTCATAATCCTTCTCGAGGGCAGCCATGTCTTCCCGGGCCTCGGAGAACTCGCCCTCCTCCATGCCCTCCCCCACGTACCAGTGGACGAAGGCCCTCTTGGCGTACATCAAGTCGAACTTGTGGTCCAGCCGGGCCCAGGCCTCTGCGATGGCCGTGGTGTTGCTCAGCATGCACACGGCCCTCTGGACCTTGGCCAGGTCTCCACCTGGGACTGCGGTGGGGGGCTGATAGTTGATGCCCACCTTGAAGCCGGTAGGACACCAGTCCACAAACTGGATGGTGCGTTTGGTTTTAATGGTGGCGATGGCTGCGTTGACGTCTTTGGGCACCACGTCTCCGCGGTACAGCAGGCAGCAGGCCATGTACTTCCCATGGCGGGGGTCGCACTTTACCATCTGGTTGGCCGGCTCAAAGCAGGCATTGGTGATCTCCGCCACGGTCAGCTGCTCGTGGTACGCCTTCTCGGTGGAGATGACGGGGGCGTAGGTGGCCAGGGGGAAGTGGATGCGAGGATACGGCACCAGGTTTGTCTGGAACTCTGTCAGGTCCACGTTCAGGGCGCCATCGAAGCGCAGTGAGGCAGTGATGGAGGACACAATCTGGCTGATGAGCCGGTTCAGGTTGGTGTACGAGGGACGCTCGATGTCCAGGTTTCTGCGGCAGATGTCGTAGATAGCCTCGTTGTCCACCATGAAGGCACAGTCCGAGTGCTCCAGAGTGGTGTGGGTGGTCAGGATGGCGTTGTACGGCTCCACCACGGCTGTGGACACCTGAGGAGCTGGATAGATGGAGAACTCCAGCTTGGACTTCTTGCCATAGTCCACGGACAGACGTTCCATCAGCAGGGAGGTGAAACCAGAACCGGTACCTCCACCGAAGCTGTGGAACACCAGGAAGCCCTGAAGACCGCTGCACTGGTCCGCCTGAGGACAAGAGGGCAAATCCTGATACAAAACTTGGACTCATTGTGCCCAGCAGAGCTTCTCATCATGACTGCAGCGATCTCAGTGCTGCCAAGATTTAATATAAACGCCATATTTATAAAGTTACACACCAGTTTGCGGATCCGGTCCAGAACCATGTCAATAATCTCTTTTCCGATGGTGTAGTGACCACGGGCGTAATTGTTGGCAGCGTCCTCCTTACCGGTGATCAGTTGCTCTGGGTGGAACAGCTGGCGGTAGGTTCCAGTGCGCACCTCATCTAAAGAGGTAGGAGGTACATTAACTCACAGTTGTTGTTTCAGAGTAAATTAAAAGGTTTAGGGACGGTGAGGCGTTACCGATGACGGTGGGCTCCAGGTCCACAAAGACGGCTCTGGGGACATGTTTCCCGGCGCCGGTCTCGCTGAAGAAGGTGCTGAAGGAATCGTCATCTCTGCCAGTGGGTTTATCAGGTTTATCCCTGAGCATCTGCCCATCAGGCTGGATTCCATGCTCCAGGCAGTAGAGCTCCCAGCAGGCGTTTCCAATCTGAACGCCGGCCTGACCCACATGGATGGAGATGCACTCACGCTGCAAACATTACAAAGAATAAAAAAACTTCTTAAAGTTTGAATCTCAAAGCAGCTAAATTGATGTGATAACGATGAAGCTATGTATGGATTTAGCATTAAATAGTAGGAAAATAAAATAATAAATAGAAAAGCCTAATAAAAAATATTCTGGTGTACACACACCTCTGTTACTCTTATATACAACAAAAATTGAGACGGTCCAAAATTTTTAAAAATATTTTAAACTAAAAAGAGAACAAATCTTAATTTATGAAATTAATTTTATTTGTTTAAAATAAAAAGTTAAAACGAGGCTGGCACCTGGGCCACATTCAGTGTGTATGTTATGAAATTATCGTAGTTTATATTAATTGAAATTAATACACATGAGCATGTCAAATATGGTGCACAGAATAGCCCTTTAAATGGAAATCAAATCGGAAGCCATCTTCAGTTTTGTGACTGTTTAGATCAGATGTAAATATATATATATTATATATATATGTATGTGTATAAATGTGTTGTCATCATTGTATGTTCCCATACAAAGACGAAATCGGCTCTCTGCATTTGACCCATCACACATGGGATGCACCCAGGTGGAGCAGTGGGCAGCTATGTAAGCGCCTTGGGAGCAATTTGGGATTGGGTGTCCTGCTCAGAGGCACCACGAGATGAGCAATGGCCGGGGATCTGACCTTGTGTTAACTTGCATATGACAAATAAACCTCTACTCCTATCGCTTCACTGTTGCCACATCCAATATGGCGGCGACGTCGACGTACGGTTCAGCGTTCATGAAGCGTCTACGCGTGATTATTGCATCAGGAGATTATTGATTACGGCGCGAGGAAACCGTTTGGCTCGTAGGCTGAGCGCGGCTGACCGAAATCAGTCAGCCTGAAGCGGATTGACGAGAACAACACACCGCTGAAGCCACGGAGCTCGAATATCCAACGTAAAACTAACTTTACCGCGGTGTAAATTTAGAACAAACGGCAGAGCTGCCAGTTAGTGAAATAAATATATTCATACGTGTTTGATACTTAAACCAAGATAAACAACATAAAATTGGATTTAGACTTCACAGTCGGTAAAGAGTTGCTTTCTTACCGACCAAAACTCCCTAAAACGTATTTTCCAGTGGGTCGCATTATAGTAAAAAAAAAAAAAAAAAAAAAAAAGGATTTTTGCTCACTCGTTTCAACTTTCCCGCATTTAAAGCGACAAACCACAACTGTAAAAAATAAAATTACGCCCTAAAATATATCTTTATAGTCTACGGATCTCCATATAAAATATCCTTACCATTTTGTAGAATTGTTATTAACTATGAGAGGAAAACAAAACTTCCCGCCAGTTTTGAAAACGGACTGTACCATTATAAAAAAACATTCGGGGGGGGGGGGGGGTGTTACAGTATCAGACTATACCATTGTGTTTGACCCCAAAATATTGACTTTAATACACAAAAGATGAATACAGTAGTTCAATTAAAAATAATAGTTATTGATTTTTAATTTAGAGCTACAATCTTTGGAAGCCCATTCAATTTCGATTAAAAAAAGGCAGTTAAAGGTGTAAATTCCATCTCGTAATTATGAGATAATATTTGATAAATAGGACATTGTATCCCTTAAATATGTGATGCAGTCATATTTATGAATCACAAAATACAATGGTTTAATGTCTCATAATTATAACAGAACATCACATTATCACAATATGACATCATATTTGATAATTGTTAAATATAAAATCATATTTTGAGAGAGCATTTAATAATTATGGAACACTAGGTAATATTTATTTAAACTTTTTTCCCCTCTGTATTTGCAACTATACAATTTACAATATAACCTCTGCATTGAGAGAAAAGAAAAACAGTATTCATCAAGATATCAATCTAAACAGAAGCAAAACAAACAAACACACTAAACTGAATACAGGAAAGAATGCTAGGGGAGCTTAGTGTTATAACAATACAGTCATTGCTGTACATATCTCAGTGGTTTTACATGCCTTTTATTTTTATCAGTCTTTATTTGTCCGAATATAATACTTGACCTCATTGTAAAAAATAACAAAGAATTTTAAGACACTATCCTAACCTAATATTCCTTAATTATGTATTGGTATCAATGTAAAAATCACTATGCAAATAAGTATTACTAAAATTAGTCGCGAACAAAAACAACAACAAAAAAAAAAACTTGCAAAGTATCGCGATAAAAACTCAACAACGAGAAGCAGAGCTGGTTACCATGGTAACAGGTGACGCTATGTTGATCCGTAGATTAGCAATGTAGCGGTTTAGTTAACTTTTCCACTCGATCTGCTAATTTATCGGATTAATTTTGTTTTGAATGTAAAGACACGGCAATGTCTAAAAAGAAACAAACAAAAGAGAAGGCAAAACAAGAAGATGATGCCTCGAACATTTCTGGTTAGCTTGATAATTACTATCTTTTAGTCGGAAGTTAAAAGTTTACAAATTAGCACCCATTTCAACGTGACTGCTAGCTACTGTTAGCTCTCATTTTATATAAGAAGTTCAAATTTCCTGAAAAAAACAACAATTATAGTCAAACATAGTAACAATGAAATAAGTATTGTGTTGATAATGTTCAGGCTTAACCATATTTTTTGTATTTATTCAGTTACTATGCAACTTACAAGGTCAAATACATTCACATGCCCCTATGAAAGATAATGAATTTTAAAACATAGCGATGTTTAACTTAAATACAACAATTAGTTGATCATTGTCACTGAAAGTACATTTTTTTCTTGACAATTGCATCATTTCTAATAAAGTATGATTATTTTAAAAAAAAAGTATATTTTAGCTTATATACTCAACATCAACTATACATTAGTTTTGGATTTATTTTGCAAATTTAACCAAATTTTCATTTTGTTGTTCCCAAGGACTGTCGCCAGCTGAAGCAATCCCTGCTCAGACTTTTGGTAACCTACATTATTCTCATTCTCTGTGGGGTCATTTGTGATTTGTTTAGTTTTTCCACTCCATTCTCCAGATGAATATGAGTGCACGGGAAATGTGGAGATCGACTTCCCTGTGCTTAGCACCCTTCTGAACATGAAGAATATCCCAGAAGTCTCTAGCAAGCAACCGGACTTTTGCACAACTGAAACTAAAGGAGAGGACACGGGTAAACAAGAGCTACTCCTGTTCTGTTCTGAACAGAGAAGCATGTGTTACGCAGCTTTTAAACTGAAAAATTTAAAAGCCCTAAATAAAACTGTTGTAGGCTATTTGTCTTTTTAAATAATCTTAGCTCATTTATTATTTCATCTCCAGACAACTACCAGTCACAGATAAATCCTTCACCCGTCTGGCCGAAGCCACGCATAAACGTTGAGCTGGAAAATGAAGACCCCCTCAGTGCCAAAATGATGAAGATTTCTGGTAAAAACGAAACTTCAAATTATTATAATTAAAGGACAAGCATTCCTTGAAGGAATGTAAATTGTTTCCATCTTGTTGTGCCAGAGATTTAATCTAAAATCATCTTATGTTGAGAAATTATGGGGATAACTGTATATATATTTTGTATCAAGCTTTTGAGCTGTTTTCAGCTCACAATGGTTATTTATAGATATGCCGTTCAGTATTTCTGCTGAAATAGTTACATTTTATTTATTCAAATTTTATTGAAATAAAAATGTTGCTCTTGTTAATTTCAAACAGCTTTGTAGTATATTTTAAACAAATGCTGTGAACCTAACGACACCTGTCGTGGATTTACAGGATGGAAGGTGACTGAGCAGATTTTCAGAGTAATGCAGAAGATGCTTCCCTCCATGAGCCAGCTGCTGAGCCTTCAGTGAGTAATGAGCAGGTGGAGAGCTGCACTCTTGTTACAGCAAGCCAGGTTACAGCCGCTGCTGTTTGGTTCTTGTTTGAAAGTGTAATCCTGTCCACTGCGTGGCAGGTTTTGGCAGGCGGGACTGACAGATCAGATGGTAATCTCTCTCACAAACACAATCTCTCTGTGCTCTGGCCTCAGGTGAGTCCATTCTGTCACTCAAACAGTCTTTCTGCAACAGGTTTAGTCTGTCACTTGGAGTTTAAGGAATACAATTTTAGCTCCATCATGAAATAATTGCAGCATTGCAGCAAATTTTAATTTAAAAGCCGAGTTATTAATCCACTAGAGCTGTGACCATAGAGGGGAACATTCTTCCACAGCAGATCTTCCACCTTCTTCTCTCTGAAAGCAGCATGTGAGTCACATTCAAATGTGCTAAAAAAAAACAACAACTTTTTTTTATATACAGAAGCTGACATGCCCAACTCATGTCATGTTTCTTTGTCCAAGTCTCACCCACCTATCTCTACGAAACAATCGGATCGGAGACGAAGGCGCTCGTCTGATTGGTTCGGCTCTCTCCACCTCCACAACCGCTAACAAGAACCTCTTGTCACTCAACCTGGCGTTCAATTCTATTGGTGACGCAGGTGCTGCACATATTGCACGGGTATGACCCAGAGCTGATTATATGTTCCCCCTACATGTTTCCATTGCACCTGCTGAGGTGTTCTCTTGCTGCGTTGCGTTTAGGGCCTGCGGCTGAATCGGACTCTGCTCATTCTCTCACTGGCCAACAATCAGATTGGAGACTCGGGAGCTGCTCCTCTGGCTGAGGTATCTGTTTATATCAAAGACTTTGACAAATAATGTGTTTATATAAGTGCTTTCTAAATTATACTTATTACATCATATAATACATGATTCACCCATCATTGCTCTCTGTTTGTTCACGTTCAGATACTTGGTGAGTTTCCTCTAACTCACGAGGAAGTCGTGGAAAGAAGGAAGCTGCTCCTGCAAACAATAAGTGCTGTAAGAGTGAAGGTGTTTATAACCAAACTACCACTATTCTAGCTTATGCAACATGTTCAGAGGGTCTTTTTCTCTGTTTATTTTTATTTTTGTATTTTTTTGCAGTCTTCGTTTAAGGCTGATTTGGAGCAGTTTTCAAGTAGCCAGCTTAGCTCAACACAAAGCATGTCAGTGAGTGTTACCAAAGCAGACAACAAAGTCATATCCAAGAAAAAGGTAATGTGTAAACACTGTAAGACTGACAACAAATTAAATATTTTAATCATGCAATCCGTGAGAGCCTCAAAGGGAACATGGGATCCTTTGTAGTGGGGTCCTGTAGAAAGTTTATGAATAATTGATATCCTACATGTTGGAGATAGCTCTCTGAACGGACAAATTATGGAGAAATTGTATTTTGTTCGAGTTGTCGCATCAAACTAACTGTTAATCTAAGTGTGTGGGTGTGTGTGTGTGTGTGTGTGTGTGTGTGTGTGTGTGTGTGTGTGTGTGGAGGGGGGATATAAAACGACCAACACAGACTTATTGTGCCACACAAATATTGTTTTATAAACCTTTACTTCACCATCACCACATCAGTCCAGGTGTAGCCAAGGACCACTTAGCGATGTCATAATATTTCTGCAAGAATAACTTTTTACTGCTAAATTAAACAGTTTACAGAATAACATACTCATGCACTGCTATAAAATGCTGGCGACTTGAGTTTTAAATGATCGTAGCTCTGCTGAGATGCACCATTAGCTCATCATTAAACTCTTTTTCTTCAAGCTGAGGTTGTTTAGAGAGACATTATAATAGATATTAATTGTTAATACTCTCACCACAAAACCTGCTTTAAACATTAGACCTGTCTGTTTAATGGGAGTTTGGCTGTGAATGTAAAATTGCAGGAAGCTTCCAGAAAAGATGTGAAAACCATTGAAGTCAAAGAAAAAACCAGCAAGAAAGGTAATTGTTCATTTTAATTTTCATATATTGCCTTCTTACAGCTTCCGCCCCCACCACTGACATCTTTTTAACATTCTCCCAGCTTCTGATGTAAAGCCAACTCCTATTAAAGGTGGAAAATTAGGGGGTAAAGATCAACAATCATCTAGACAAGAGGTACTTGAAGTGCTCTCCAAGCTTGTGAATGAGCCGTGTAGCATAAAATTTAGTCTTTCATTGCTTTTTGTTTTGCAGGATAAATCAAACAGTTCCCTGAATGAGGTTTGGAAGATGCAATATCTGAAGAAGTGACATTCTTAGTGATGGATGTGGTTTGAACGTGTTTTGGTGCAGGCAGAGTTACTGGAGACAGCCAACCCCCTGCTGGACCAGTCTGTGCATCACAAGGACGGCCAGCTTGTTCTGCCTGGAAATACAACGCTCACCTCCCTGAATCTAGCAGGTCTGCAGCTGTTCTGATTCAAAGAGAGAATACACAAAATACTACTTTTATTTGACTACAGAAAGATTTTACACTCATGTTGACTTTCTCTAGATGTAAATACCCCTTTAATTTATGTAAAAATTAATCTCTTCCAAGATGTTTCCGTCCTAAAAATTTGCTTATTACACCCTTTTTTTATTCATTTTTTTGTAATTTATTTAAGGAAAAATGTTCTCATTTGTCAATGTGTTTTGTGCAACTTGCTCAGTTGCTATAGGAGCTTCTTTGAAAGTGAAGAAAAGAGTAAAAGACGTGATACGCTTTGTCAGCATTAACGTCGTGTTTGTTTGTGTAGGCAACAGAATTACAGAGAAGTCACTTCCTCTGTTTCTGGCTGTTCTGGAGATGCAGCAGGAGGAGGACAGAAGCTTGCAGCGTCTCTGCCTGCAGGTGACGTTCTCTTCAGTGAAGGTCTGATGTTGTGTTTGGACAGATCTACACATCCTGACAGCATCCAGTAAAGAACAGCAACAGGCCAAACATAGAATAAACATAAAAACAACCACAGTAATAATGTTCAAAACACCACCTTTCACCGACTTAATGTGGTGTATTATTATTTTAATATTCTATTTTTATTTATTTCATATTTATGGCCAACATTCCTCTTGCACTCAGTTCCATATTTCTATAAAATATGACATTTTTCCCATTTATTTATTTGTTTGTTTTGCTTCAGATTTACTGCAGTATGCAACTTAATTGGATTTTTTAAATGCAGGTACTGAGTGTGTTTTACCGTACATTTATAATTAAATCTGTGTGTTTAATGCATGAATATTTTCTTACAGAGAAACCGTTTCCCAGCTGAGTCTAAATGTTACTTGAAGATAAAGGACATCATGGCTCTCGCAGATGGTGTCGTCAAAACCAGCTCCGGGACAATGGAAGAGGAGGGACGGGGGACATGATGCCGAACCACCTGATTCAAAAGTTGCACTGAAACTACTATTTTTCTTTTATTATTTTTGTTTTCTGACATATGAAATTAAGAAGTTAGAAACTATTAGTTTCAGCTCTAATGTTTGTGTCTGTTACACTTTCATGACTTCGGCTCGGCTGTAAGCAACACTGATGAGAAACACAAAAAAATGAAGCTTTTAATACAGTCATGATAATACAGCATTCCTACAGTTAATACAGTATTCCTTTATTTGCTTATGACAACTAAAACCCTATAAACACTGAATTGGCTTTTGGAATTTGTTTTTGCCTGATGGCAGTGACCCACACTGAGTTTAAGAATAACTTATCAGGATGGACTTGCATCTTTAATGCTGGGAACAGAGAGCTGGTCAACTTTTGGATTATCTGACGTGCCACCAGGGGGTCCTCAAAGAGAAACAAAAATATAAACTCGTGTTTTTTTCTCTAAAGAGGGACTGGAAAATTTAAATTGTTTGGAATTAAATAGGCGGTTAAATACAAATATGTTTGGGTAAAAGAAAATGTTTCAAAAATTTCATTTCAAAGCAAGAAGTGTTCCAGGCTTTTTGCTTATTATCAATGTAGACTGAAACATTTTATTTGCCTCAAACTATGATTTTGCAACAATTAGTGATGTTAATTAATTTTCCTGTATGACCGTGTTGCTTACGCTGTTTACAATTAATTCATTCAGTCAACGTTTATTTGTACACGTTAGTCTCGTTGAGCCACGAGGACTCATTTACAAGAGACACCTGTTTTAAACAAAGAACACAGAAGAAATGTTGTGCAAACAACTGATGTTGATAAATATATAGAAGTTTTGTTTTTTTTCAAGAATACAGGATGCAGCAACTCATAGGTGTAAGTGAGAAAACAGCTTAATACAAACATGTAAAAAAGTTAATTTGTTTTTATCTTTATTTTTAGATTTTTTTTTTTAATTCAATCAAATAACGGATTCTAAAATCCGTGTTTGATACGCGTAAGTGACCCAGATGATTCTACACCACAAATAAACGGGAGTTTTGACCTCTCCAATATGGCTCCGTAGTGTGTATGTGTGTCGTCACGTCCGGTTTTTAGCTCCGAACACCCACCAATATGAATCCTTCGCTTCCGGTAAAGCCTCCTTTTCGGCAGCGGCTATTTCCTCGCCAACATGCCAGTGAGTCCCCAGTCAATGGAAATGGACATTTTAACCATTTAACCGAGTGTTGGGGAGTCAGTGATGGACTCAACACTTACAGAAGACATTAGAGATTTGTTTGCTGTGACTTTTGGTCGGTTTCGTTCGGTTAAAGACGCGTTTTCGATCTTTTTTAAGCGCATTCCGAGGCCGTTGTGACACAAGATGGCCGCGCGCACACGGCAAACATGGAGCCAGTTTAGCAGAGGAGCTAAAAATCTCAGAAAACCGAACCATAATCATCACAAAATGTCTTCAGTACGGCTCAAGTTCGCGCAAACCTGTAAAATATATAAAATGTTTTACTTAAGAACGACGTTCGCGTGCGCTGTGCGTTATTTAATGTAGGCCAACATCAGAACTCGAGCGGGCCAACGCAGCAGTCCTTAACAGAATAAAATGCGTGAATTGCGTTTTTTTTTTTTTTTTAATATTCAAACAAAACAACATACAGCGATTTACCACCTTTTGCCATAGATGCGACGATTTTCTGTTTCGTTTGCTAAATATTTATGTTCCCCTCTGATCGCATCTACTTGAGTTTAATTTATTTTTGATTGTTTCCTTAATCCAGCTCGCAAAAGACTTGTTGCACCCATCCCCTGAGGAGGAGAAGAGGAAGCACAAGAAGAAACGTCTGGTTCAGAGCCCCAACTCTTACTTTATGGATGTAAAATGTCCAGGTATGGATTCTCCTTATAAAAACACATGTGGTGTTTTTCAGCCTCGGTCTTTGCATCATGACATGATTTGTCTTTGCAGGATGCTACAAGATCACGACAGTGTTCAGCCACGCTCAGACAGTCGTGCTGTGTGTTGGCTGTTCCACGGTCCTGTGTCAGCCCACTGGAGGCAAAGCGCGTCTCACAGAGGGTCTGTATCTGCAAACTGGTTCATCCACAACACAACTCCCAGCTGATTCACTTCACTAATGGTTCTGGGTTGTATCAACTCCTCAGCAAGTTAGATGTTAATTAAACATTACATATATTGTTGTTTGCAGGCCCTATGCTAGTGTAGCATTTGTTTAATGCCAGAATCACAAAACATTTTGTTTTTTTTTCATTCGCTGTTTTTCAAATGTCTTTTGTTTGATCAAGGGCCTGTTGTTGTCCGTTCAATTTTTCTTGTGATGCTGATATAGTCTGGAATCTTTCGAGTGCTTTAATTCTGAACATTATCATTAAATTATGTAAAAGTTAATGTATTTAGCTCTTTCTGAACAATGGGTTGCCGTTTTGTTTAGAAAGACACAACTAGGTCTGTCACGATAAACAGTAAATCAATTAATCGCATGATAAATAAAAATTATCGACCTCATTTTCATTTATCGGCTTTATCGTTTTTTCGCGTCTCTCTCTTTCTACTGAAGACACTGGATGAGAAAAAGCTCAACTCCGGTGCTCTTCACTGACCCCTCCCTTTTTTCTTTTAAAATCCGTTTTAACCGTCCAAAATCACGTTTTTGGATCGTTAAAAGCAGCTAAGCTGGGAAGCTAACAGGCCAACCTCTGGGGGAAAAAAAACTCCAAAACGAAACCCGTGCCTTTGAAAAGAAGCTGAAAACTTTACTGATTTAAAAAAAAAAAATTTAAAAGCTTTGTGTGAAAAATGCTATGCTAAAGAGCTCAAACCACATCGAGCGTCTGCCGTTTTGAGAACCGAAAAACGGAGAGACAGCTCATGTCACGTCAAGGGGCCTCCCTCCCATTTTTCTTAGACACGCTGCTCACTCCCTCACTAGCCATCCTTTGGTTCAGTTTTATACTGCCATCTGGTGGTCCAAAAAAGGTACTACACAAAACATTTCTTATTAAATTTGAAAATAATTGTCAAAGTTCAGTTTTATCGCAATAATTTCTGAGCCAATTAATCGCCCTGCAAAATGTTATTGTGACAGGCCTAGGTACAAAAAAAGTCATATTTTTTTTTTGTTTTGGATGAGCAGATGAACTTTTTAACTCGTTTTGATGTAGGTGGGTGCACTGCTAAGTGACTGTATTTCCTCTGCTGTGGTCTTCCAGTCTCATTCCGGTGCCAGATCGACCTCGCATAGCAGAAGAGTTGAGTTAGATCAGTGGCTCAGCTCTTTCGAATGTTGAGAACAAACAGCTGTAATTTAGTGTTTCGTGCAGGTTTAAAATAATTTGGTCAGTTGTCTCTATCTGCTCTGCAGTGGTTTTGTCAGCAGCAGACTGACGGTCGTTGTTTTCCGTGGCAGGGTGCTCGTTCAGGAGGAAGCAGCACTAGTTGTCCTTGGAGCTGAAAGAGAGAGGAGGGGATGGACCGGTTGATACCAGCTTCTCTGGGCTCCGAGGCAACGGCAGAGCCTGCGGTCGGATTTGAAACGAAGACTTGACTGGACAGCAGATGGATTTTCAATGTTCATGTTGACGGATCGGTTGTTGCTGCAACTCCACCCTCCAACCCTGTCTCTCTAAATAAAATGTTTTGGCTAAAGGAACGGTGTCCTGTGTGGTTCTTGATGGTTTTGTTAAAAGCATCTTGCTACCACACTAAATTATATTTTACAAATTACCAAACTGTTACAATTCATAAAACTTTAATTACACAAAAAAAAGTTCACAGATGCAGCTCCCCACAATGGAGCCTAACGGTTCATTAAACTGACAACATTAATATATTTTAAATAAGGTTTCATGTCAATAATCAGCCCGACTGTTAAGAAAATATTCAACATTGAAATCATAAATTTGATCGTTTTTACTGCTGAAACTTGCAGGAGAATCCTTTAGAAGTGTTGAAGCTAATTTCTACATTTAATTCATGCTACAGAGAACGGGTTTACATCAGAGCAAAGTTCATGTTCTGCTCAGATCTGACCAAGAAGAAACTTCTGGCCTAAATCTACTTGTCCGCTCCGCTCGCGCCCTCGCTCTTCACCTCCCTCTCCCGGAGCAGGTGTCTGATGGAGGAGTTCTGCGTGGACAGCGTGCTGGAGAGGAGCGGCATCAGGCTCCTGAAGCCCTCCCTCAGCTCCTCCACGTGCTTCTCCAGGCTGTGGATGTGCGAGTCCAGCTCCGCCCTGCAGCCCTGCACCTCCGCAACGATGTCGTACATCAGGCTCTGCATCTGTTGGAAGGAAGCGAAAGTTTGTCACGTGGTCAAACACTTGACGGTGCCTCCGCTTGTCCTCACCTTGCAGAGATCTACAAGTGTGTTGCCCTGATCTGCAAGTATCCTCTTCTCCATCTTCACTCTGCGCAGCCTGAAGACCAAGAAAATGACCCGTGAACATAAAATCAAAGTATGGAGGAGAGTCTGGACTAAAGGATTATAATTGGATAATTGTGTTTTTTATTTATTCGTTCCTTTGTTTACGCGTTTACAGCTGCACTGCTCAAAGTATGTTGTGATGCATTTTAGTCTAGACAGGTTCTTCAACATCTTAGTTGAATTTTGTCATCGCTCGTCTCCTTTTCCGAGAAAATAAATTTTTATTTTTCATCTACGTTGACGCGGATCCTCATTCTGTTCATACCTCTGTTTCAGCTGTGCTCATATTCAGACCTGGCAACACGTTGACAACATTTTGCTCTAATGATGTTAAATGGCAGTAAAATAAAACTTTTAATACATCTGTATATAAAAGTAGAGCTGAACGCCGACTTTGAATACTGGAAATAATCTAGTTGAAGGCATCTGATTTTACTGAATTTCATAGTTTTTTATCCACAAGGGGGTGCTGTAGCACCCTTTGCACCCCCCAGTCCTTGCTAGAAATAAGTTTCTGTGATTTTTTTTTTTTTTTTTGACTCTTAACTCCCATCTGTATACTTCTATTGTGTAGTTGTAAAGAAAACTTTGTCAGACTAACCTTTACGATCAAAAGATCCATTTCTACACCTTCATTCACTAAATTCAACGTGTCCAGAGACGCAACAACCTGACTATCAACTGGTGGCTCATGGGCCACTTTAGGTTTGTTGAAGAGGCTTTTGTGGCCAGTAAAAGTGACAATGACATTATAAACCTAAAAATATCTAATGATTTTTTAAAATTTATTGATGTTTTTACAATTTAAGGCAAATGAAAAGCATCAACTTATGGTGTGCGGGGGTGGGGAGTGCTGTAAAAAAAGTAAAAGTATAAAAATAAAGCATAAAGTAAAGTGAGTATGTTTTACTCCTTGTACTAGTTCCAGTATTCACATATTGGCAAAAGAAATGACAGGAAAACAGCTAAAACTAGTCCTTTGTTGTTGCTTGTACAACAACCAATAAAATTCAGTTTTATGTTAGTTTTGGTCAAAGCTTGAAAAAGCTGCAGGTTGCAGACCCCTGAACTGGACTAAGTATTGCCAATATGTAGTTTTAGTGTTTTCTAGAATTAACTTTAGGAGGAAGATTTTTATGTCTTCATACGGTGAAAATTATTCTCACTCTCTACAAGTTCTTTCTTGAATAGACTCTACAGTGTCAGGGTGTTCGATTTGGGATAATGTTTATATATTTTTTTAAAGTTGTGGAAATATAAAAGAAAAAAAATGCACATACAAAGACCCACACAAAACATATTTGGATGTAAAGCAGAAATCCAAATGAAGACAGTGAAACAAGTTATTCATCAGGTGAAACAGTCCAAGGTTGGGGTGATGTGTCTGAACGACAAAAACATAAAGAAAAAACAGTTTTTCATATTGACTGAGCTTCAGGTGTGCGCAGCGACTCCGTTACCCGGGATGAAAAAGGAGCACAGTTTAAAAGCAGCTTGGTGTCAGGGTCGGGTCTTACTGGTGGATGGCCAGGAGCAGCTTCCTCTGGTGCATGCGGACTCTGGTGTGGTCCCGTTCTCTTGACAGCTTAGTGTGCTTGTAGATAAGCCAAGTCTCTCTCAGCACATTTGCTGCAGCAATTTTTATCTGGTGAAAGGATGTAGAAAATCACTGGGAGTTATTGCAAGTTTATGCACATTTAACCCCTTAAGTGCTGTTTTTTTATTTATTTATTTTTAGAGAATATGCTGACTAAGACCAACAAGCTGTTTATATTATTACATGCGCAGACATTTTGGCTTCTAATCAGCTTTCAGATTTAACTCAAGAAGAGATTCTTCCTGTTAGGCTGAATCAGATTATTAAAATTTAATTTATTTTATTGCATTTTTATTTAAACACTACGGACGAAGATTAGGGCCACGGTAGGGCCACAGTGCAATAAAAAAAAAAATTCCTTAATTCTGAGAAAAAAGTCAGAATTCTGACTATAATCTCAGAATTTTGACTTTTTTCTCATAATGAGAAAAAAAAAATCAGATTTTTTTTCAGAATTCTGATTTTTTTCTCTCAAAATTTTGACTTTATTCTCAGAATTACGAGCTTTCTAAGAATTATGACTTTTTAACATCATAATTAAGAAGAAAAATAAATCAGATATATTTTTTTCAGAATTCTGATTTTTTTCCCCTCAGAATTCTGACTTTAATCTCATGATTCTGACTTTAATCTCATAATTCTGACTTTATCCTGATGCATGCTCAATAATCTAGGTAGAAAAATCTAAAAAAGTTAAAGTTAGAGTTGTCCTCTGGACATTTAAAAAACAAAACAAAGCAAAACAACACAAAAAATGTAGAAACATTTCTTCTCTCATCCGAGAGACTTCCTCAGTCTGAGGTGCTGTTTTCAGCTCAGTCTCTTAAATAGCACCTTCTCAGAGTGGATCAACCAGTTTTGCTGCTGACAACCAAAACCAGCTGATCACATG